CTACTTATCTAGCTATTAAACTAGCGAAGCTATTATAGTATAATTAGGCTAGTTATCTAGCTCTTCTTATTAGCTCGATAGGTGTAGTCTAGTCTTTTAATCTATACTCTAGTAGTAGTAAAATAACGTAGTCTTTAATAGCGGCTAATAATCTATAGCTAAAGCTTATAACTACTTATTATATTAATATAGTAATATACTATTATCTGAACCTTCTCTTTCTTATAGCTAGGTACTAGTACTATTAATAACGTACGATTAGGTACTATCTTCTAAAATAAGCTAGTCTTATTATAGTTATACTAATCTTTAAGGGAGTATCGTATAAGGCGTACTTAAAGGATTGTAATATTAGCTATTATTAACTACTTATTAACTCCTATAGCCTCTCCGTATCTTCTCCTATCCTTAATATTATACCTACTTTTAAAACTAGTAAGCTAACTATTACTAAAAGCTAGCTCTTATAGACTTTAATATTAAAATAGCCGATACTAGTACTACTTTACTCTTAACTTTAAAAGGTCGCCGTTAATTACGAGTAAGTACTAATAGCGTATTACCTACTAGGTAAAAGTATTTTTAAGCTTTACGTAGTAGATACTACGTTACTTCTTTCGTACTAGCTATACTACTATATCGCTCTTAAAGTAACGGTATCGGGTACTAAGGATCTTAGAGACTATTACTTATCGGATAGGCTTATTAAACTAGCTCTTAAACTAAGTATAGAGCTCCTTTTATATAAGTAAAAAGTAGTCTTAATACTACTAGCGTAGTACGAGCTTCTCTACCTCTAAAAATACGGTCCTCGGAGGTATATCTATAACGATAGTTTAGTAAGTAAATCTAAGATATAATTGTTATATAGGTATAGGTAGGAAGAACGATATTTTATAGTAGGAAAGTTAGTAATAGCTAGTAGTATCGCTATAGTAAAAATATCGTTATATATAGTATCGCTATAAGGAGGTTTAACTGTACAACTAACTAATATACTCCTCATTACTATTCCGACAAGGAAATATTAACTCAAGATGCATTGCCCCGACTATCCCATTTCATTGAAGTATTATGAAGATGGCGTGCACATTGAAGGCGGCCCCTCGAATGTGGCCGGACGATTCTCGCAGGCCTGGCCTCTCGGTTATGTATATACGCCCCATCGCCCACTTCAGCCTCATGACTTCAGCCTCCATACACTCGGTGTTCCACCCAAAGGGTTTAATTAGACTCTTGAATGTTCATCACCGTTACTCCCAAGCCGTCTAAACAGCTTGTGGTGCAGTTAGCAGCGCAGTCGCTTATTAAAAGTCGGAGAGAAGACTGAGATCTTACTAATGCATCCCACCCGCAATGGCGAGCCCGCCGATAGCGACCTTCTCCATCGGATGGATTGCCGCTTTATCACACGAATTGACCGCAGGTCGTCTCATGCCGGATAAGGAATATCCAGATGCACCAGAAGACTTTGACCCGTCTAGCTCTGACACCAATACATACACTTTTGGTCGAATAGGCCGGCATCATGTGGTTATCGCTGTACTTGGTACTGGCGATTATGGCCTTGTCTCTGCAGCCGAGACAGCCTCGAGGCTCAGTGCATCAATGCCGCACATTCGGATAGGTCTTATGGTTGGCATTGGTGCTGGTGTAAGTATCAGCAAAAACGTACGACTTGGAGACATTGCGGTCAGCGAGCCAATTGGCACCCACGGCGGTCTCATCCAGTACGACTTGTTCAAGGCGGCCGTGGAGAGTGGCAATCCACACGATCAGCGCACCGGGTTCCTCAGTCGGCCTCCACGAGCACTTTTGACGGCTCTGCAGAAGCTGAAGTCCTCTCACGACATGGATGAATCGTTTATCGAAGAGCACATCGAGCACGCCTTTCAAAGACGCCCGAGGTTGAAGAAGTCATTTGGCTTCCCTGGTCGTGAAAGAGATCCGCAAGCAAGCGCCAAAAGCCGAGCGGAGGACGACTCAGACTCTCCAGAAGTTCACTACGGTATCATCGCATCTGGCAATGTTCTTGTGAAGCGCAGTCAAACGCGGGATGCCGTTTTGGATTCGCTCGCCACCGAGCACATACATCCTATCTGCTTTGAAATGGAAGCAGCTGGCCTGATGAACACCTTCCCGTGCCTTGTCATTCGTGGACTCTGTGACTACGCAGACGAGCTCAAAAATGACGTGTGGCAGAAGTATGCCGCGCTCGTTGCTGCAGCCTACGCAAAAGATCTATTGGGCCACGTTGACAAACGCGAGATTGACACAGGCCCGCTTCTTGCCCAACTCCTCAATGACAGTCAGTATGGCATATCGATTGAAGATGAAAGATTTGCTGAAACTAGGAAGTGCAGGCCATCCACGAGGATGTTAGTGAAGTCAAAAGCGAGACAGTCTCCATGAAAAAGAAATTGAGCGCCGATGAGTTCGCCAAGCTACTGAATTGGCTATGCCCTTCGGACTTCTCTCTGCAGTATACGAAGAAGCGAAACGAGCGCCTGCAAGGCACCGGTACGTGGTTCCTCGAGGACGAGCGATACAAGAACTGGTCAGAGCGAGATGACAGTCACACTCTCTACTGCGAGGGCGCACCTGGCGCAGGAAAGTCCATGCTTGCAGCTTTTGTAGCCGAGATCCTCCTCGACACGGTTCTCAAAGAAAAGACCGCGGTACTGCTGCTATTCTGCGACTATGCCCGGAAAGAGGAACAGTCGAAAGCGAACTTTGTGTCCACGATTCTGCGGCAGCTGCTCCATCGCCATGGTTACGACTCTGATCTCGCTGCACAACTGACGAAATCTTACGGACCGTCCGGACAGTCGTCTGAACTCGCACGGCCGGTTGCAGAGAAGCTGGAGGAGATTTTGTCTCGAGCTCTAAAGCCCTACGAGTGTATATACCTGGTCATGGATGCGCTCGACGAATGTGATTTCGCCATCTGTCGAGACTTTGTCGGTCTGCTCCGCTCGCTGGTGTCGGAGAAGGTCTTCAAAGTTCTTGCCACCTCTCGGCACAACCCAAACATCGAAACCCTGTTCCCTGGGGCAGCCTGCTTGCCCATCAAGGCGGATGTCTCCGACATCGAGCTCTACGTTCGAGAGCGCGCAAAAGAGTTAGAGCTCCGGATCCCAGATCGCCCTGATCTGATCAACGAGGTCGTCAGGTAAGCCGCATTGATTTCACGTGGAACTTGGTACATCTCATTACATCAGCTTCATTGATGTGACTATGTTAGACGACCGAGCCTTAGCCGGGTACTATGTAAAACTAGCCGCAGCTAACGTATGTGCAGGAGCGTCGTGCGGTCTGTTGACGGAGTGTAAGTTGCTTTCACATGGCCCTGCCGATGAGTTTCTCACTAAAAGTGATAGTTTCTTACTGGGCCAGCTCCACATGAACAATCTTGTGCAACACGACACTCCCAACGATGTCAGAGTTGCGCTGGACTCCATCTCGAGTGGCTCAGACGCCTATCAGCAGGCCTACCACAACACACTGGAGCGAATTACATCCCGACCGAAGAAGCTCACGGAGAGAGCGCTATCTGTTTTGATGTGGGTGACTTACGCCAAGCAGCCTTTGACGCCAGAACAACTGCAGCATGCCTTGGCGACAAAGCTCGGGCACAAACATCTAGATCCTGACGACATACCTGGCGAGACAGCTCTATTGTCTGTCTGCGAAGGCCTGGTCGTTGTTTCGTCATCAGAGTCCGCCATTTGGAGCAAGGACAAGCAAAGTCTTGAGGTGAGACTAGTCCACTTCACTGCGGAGCAGTACCTCAGGGATGTTGGAGAGACCTGGTTCACCGCTGCCAATCTGGACGACCCGCACCTCACACTCGCAAGTACCTGCTTTACCTACCTCGCATTTGACAAGATTTCCAAATGGCCGCGTAAAGTCGATAGGCTCGCCCTCAAAACCTACGCATCAGGCCATGCAGGTCTGCATGCCTTCGACGCTGAATCCACACGCACAGATGGCAAGCATGATGGCAAGGCTCTCGCAGAGGCCGCCCTTCCCTTTCTTCGCCAAAGCGAGTCAATGAACAGTGGCTGCGCTTGTCGATACCTTGCTGAATTTGACCTCCCTTATCTATTTTCAGTGTTGGGGAAGAACTTCCCACAGATCGATGTCCCTGATCGCGACAATGCTCACACGCCGCTGCTGTACGCCGCAAGCAACGGCAGCTCAGCCATGGTCAGTGCTTTACCGGACACTGGCAAAGTGGACGTGAACCATGTCGACTTGAACAAACAGACTGCACTGTCTTTGGCAGTAGCAGAAGGGCATGACGATGTCGTTCGACTCTTGATCGATACACGGAAAGCCAACATCACAGAAGTCCAGCGACCCAGAGAAGGCAGGATGGTACGTGTTGGCTACAAAACCAAACTAGAAGAATATCTGTCTCCGTTGTCACGAGCCATCGGTGCCGGCCGATCAGAAATCATTAAGCATTTGCTTCGATCAGCGCAGCTGGACTGTAATAACAGAATAGATTCTGACCTGCGCACGCCTTTGCACCTCGCTGCGGTAGGCGGGCATTACGCTATCTCGAAGCTACTCGTACGAAGCAAGCGAGTGACCAATCTCGACTCTGAGGACTTTCACGGCCACACCCCTCTGTACTCTGCTTCGAGAAATGGGCATAAACAAATCGTTAAGTTGCTTGCGCAGACTAGCAGGGCTCGACTCGACTACCGCACCCAGGACAGAGACTCGCCGTTGTCGGCAGCCGCGAGAGGTCTTCACACCAATGTCTGCCAAGCCATCTATCACCACCTGCCGCAAGGAGAGCCCCGAATCAAGGCAATGGAACATGCCTTTTTACATTGCTTCTTATGGCAATATCACGAGATCTGTCTGACTGTAGACGATGCCATTTCGCTTCTAGAACGCATCGAGCCTACGCTGGCGGCACATCGGGAGACCGTGGCCGAAATGTTAGATCCGTTCGGCGATGCACAGCGAAGTGTTATGGCGCGATACTGGTTTGGAGTTCTCTGCTGCAACATATGTCAGACAAAGAACCTTCGCACCGGCTTCTACTGTCCTAGCTGCCTCAAGGGCAAAGACGAGTCGTTCAATATCTGCCAAGCTTGTGTTGACACTGGCCATTTGTGCTACAGCAACGAACATTTGCTTGAGGAGTACGATGGCCAGTCAGACCTTCAGGCTCTTGTAGTGGTGAACAAGAGGACGTTCGAAGATCTCCAGCTGGATGACATTCACCTTGCCTCGGTGTTGCAGAGATACAGAACAAACCACACTATCTGCCACCAATGTGCGTCTGTCTCGATTTGGCATGGATTCTACTGCAACATATGTTTTGTCAACGGAACTCATTTATGTGTCGCATGCGTCGACGACGGCCACTGGTGTAACGACATCGAACACAACATGCGAGAAATCAATATGGCCCAATGTACAAAGGGTAACTTCCCGATCAGGAGTCGCTTTGCCAAGGACGGTAGCGCTGCGGTCGCCCACACCATCCTCGACTACATCGCTGTAGACGTTCCATGTGACGTCTGCAAGAAGTCTACGGATCATGGCTTCCACTGTGCTAAGTGTCCGAGCACAGCTTCGGGAGTGCCTGGATTCTTCAACACTGACGTTTGCTTCAAGTGCGTTCGAGAGGGCCACTGGTGTAGCAATAAAGAGCATTTGCTGCGGGAGTACAACGCCAACACATGTTGTGAGGACGCTAGTTCCTCCTGGAGGTCGTTTGCGGAGGTTCACAAGCGCAGAAAGAGCGTAGACGGCGATGAAAAGGCGACGCCCACCGTTGCTACCACCTCCTTGGCTCGACGATACTCTACCACCAACATCGGCGATGTCGACTGGCAGGTTTGGCCTTGCAAGAACACAAGATGGCCTGGAACCGGAGCTATCGAGAAGACACACCGATTGAATAGTCGAAGAATGACAGAGAGGCTGCCCAGAGACGATTACCAATTACGATCCAGCGCATCAGAGACTATACGCAAAGATTACTTCCAATGCGACATCTGTGCCTTTTATCGTGCGAAGAGCGACCGCGGTTTCTCCCGGTCCGTATGTGCATCTACTGCGAGCTGAGAATCGACGGACTGGATAAGGACGCCGAAATGAAATGGTGCCTCCGTGGCCGTCACGCCATGCCAAGGAACGAATTTCTCAAAGTGCACAGCTCAGGCGCCATCGACAAGGAAAGACATACATATTGTGGGCGTCACAGATTTAGGTCAAAGATAGCGAGCCCTACGTCGGAGGAGAATCTCAAACTGGATGCGGCAGACGACAGAGCTCTTCTCGAGCATGGCGAGGATGACTTTGATGGATCCTCGGCAGGAGAAAGGAAAGAAGGGGCCAGCGGCGCCTTCGCCAGAGGATGCCCAGGAGGTCCAGGCTGCCAAGCTTGAAACCGTTGCGGAAGACGATTGGGGCGGTTGGGGATTTTCAGTGCCTATGAGGACAGAAATCGAGGAGGGGAAAGCGAATGCCATCCAGGATGGTGTCCAGGAGAATCAGACTCCCGCCGCAGAGGAGAGTGCGGAAGGCGATGCTTCTAAGCCTGGTGCATCCGAGGACATGGAGGATCCTTGGGGTTGGGTTACTGCGAAGAAGCATGACAAAGACCCACCACATACCTCACGGGCAGCAATTCAAGGGGACAAAGCTACCGCTTCAGAAGAGAGCAACGTTCCCAAGGCTACGGCGTCGGAGGAAGATGATGATCCTTGGCGAGCATTCGGTCGAAGCGGAAAGAAAGCGAAGAGAATGGCCAGGAAGCACGTCTCGTGGGAAGACAATGATTGAGAACCAGACGACAGGACTAGGAGATGAGTTATCAACGGTGAAGTCGGGAATCAAAATCTGTACTGCAAATGGTCAGAGCAGGCCGTCTCAGCTCAGCAACTGCCAGAAGCCGCTTTCGCATGGAAATCCCAGATACCCCATTGTGTAAAAGAATCAGCTGTCGTAAGTTATATTTTAGTCCCTCCTTCCCTCCCAGAATCCCTCCTCTTCGCCTCATCTTTCGCAATCATGAAACTGGCAAACCATTCCTCCATCTGGTCTACATCGTCCAACTCCCCAACCCACGCAGTGACCTGATCCGGCCTGACAACAATCAGAGCACCCTTCTTCTCACCGATCCCGTAGACTCCGTGACTCCCCGTCGTCTTGTCTGCCTCCTTAACGCCGCCAGAGTCGCCGTAAATCGTAAAGTAGTTCCTGCCCAGAGTCTCGTGCACCGGGAAGAAAGTATGGTGGAAGTCTGAGAATTCGACGGCGGAGATCGGGGAGGAGTGGAAGAGGAGGATCTCAAGGAAATCCTCCCTCCTCGCCGACGCGGGAGGGTATCTCTGCTGTAAAGCTTTCAACCTCTCGCCCATGGCGTCCACTTTGGCGAGCTGGGCTTTGTCGGCTAAATGCCCAGCAAAGACAAGTACTCTCCACAACCCATTCGACTTCAGCAGAGATAGCGTCGAGGTCGGATCCCCATCTGCTTGACTGTACACCGTAGCCGTATCCGGGAATCTGAGACCGATCGGAAGCCCAGTAGCTGCATCTTGCCTCGCCCCTTTTCCATCCTCCCCAATGACCAAATTCGATTTGTACGTCGAAATCGGGCCACTGAACTTGCTGAGTCGCTTATAGACCCGCTGGACTTCCGCTTCGTCCCGGTTCGCTCGGGCGAGGAGGACTTTGGCCATGTCGTTGTCGAGTTCGATGAGATTGCGTGCGATGGGGAGGCGTTCTTGGTCGTAGGTTTTGAGGACGGAGGGGGAGAGTTGGTTGCGGAGGACGCCGGCCAGTTTCCAAGTTAGGTTGTAGGTGTCTTGCTGGGAAACGTTCATGCCTTGGCCGCCTTTGGGGGAGTGTGCTGTTCTCACAGATCAGTCAAAGGAGATGGATGATGTCTGTAGGTGGATGTAAATACCGTGTGTAGCATCCCCAGCTAAGAAGATCCTGTCGAGATGAGATGCTTTATTGCAGACTCTCTGACCCACGCGGTAGATCGTCCACCAGTCGCAGTACTTGTAGCCTATAGTATACGGATAGAGTATTTCATTTGCTGCTTTTAGGATGTCAGAGACTGTCGCTTTCTCATTGTTCCTGTCTTTGACATCGGAAGTCTTGTAGCCTTCTGGGAACTGCACGTAGAGCCTGACTAGCCCGTTCTCGCGGGGGATCAGGAGGAGGAAGCCAGCGTGGGAGAGGAGACTGCATGTTCTTCGTATATCCGGGAAGTTTGTTATGGGTTGGATGTCTGCAAGTTTTGGTTAGCGTTCGAGGAGCCAGGGGAAAGTGAGTGAATAAGCCTTACCAACGACGCCAAAGACCTGGTCGGAATTTTCGCCTTCCATCTTGAGATCTGGAAGCTGTCGTCGTACCCACGAATGCGCTCCGTCGACTCCAATGACATATTTCGCGTGAATAGTCTCTGTGGTGCCTTCTGTCCCATCGACATGGTTTTCAATCTCATGTGGATCGGTCCCAAACGCTTCAACGAATCCCTTTTCCGGCTTCAAGGTACCATCCTCCTGAACGCTATGGGCCCCAGTCCAAGCATCAGGAAGCTCCGACTTAAGGACATGGTGGACCTTCATAATGATTGGGTAATTGGTAGGATCGTTCACCAGGCTCTCGTCGATCGTCAGTTCAACAGGTTTCGTACCTCGCTCAACAACTGGTCCACCTCTTGCTCTCACCCCATCACCAAGGCCCGCCTCGATCATGCCTTGGTGCATAGTGCCTATCTTTGGTAGTCTCAGATTTTCATGCCCGGGTATGGATCCCAGATGTTGACGGTAGATCCCTGCTGCGGCGTCTTCGCCAAACGTCCACAAGCCCCATTGCCCGAATCGTTCGCTATACTTTTCTATCTGTCGACTGTCAGTGCTTTCTGTCTGCAATCGAAGTGCCATCTCTTTAGCATACACGATCATAGATGCCAAAGCTATCCCAGATTTCCACGGTTGGGACATGGAAGCCGTCCGCTCGGCCATTGAGAGTCCTTGTGCCACGGTGGTCGATGATACGATGCGAGATTCCCAGCTCTGAGAGATGCATGTTCGCCATCATCCCTGCTGGACCAGCTCCAACGATGAGGACGTCGACATGACTGTCCGGACTCGTGGAACCCATGATCGAAGCTTTGTCTTTTTCGTGAAGAGTTGTAGCCGAACGTAGTCGATGCAGAAAAGGTGTAAGTGCATAAATACCAACACTGCCAATGATGACTTGATCCCAGCCGCACTTTAGAAGCGTTTCACGGCTTTAGGGTACATGAGCACAGTAAGACATCCGCCCCGTCAGAAAAGAGGAAACTGGGGCTGAAACGAGGATTTACATGTGAAGGATCTCTGACTCTCGCATGCGTTTCCAGTGCCCTTTCCAGCAGTGCAGCACGGTATGTAGAAAGCACAAACAAGACGCCTAAAAAGAAGCAATTCTGTCGAGAGCTTTGTATGCTTTGCGCTATCGTCACCAAGGTCGGACTGAAGCTTGTTCAATTGTCGACTAGACATGATCTGCAGCCCTTTATCGTGGTTTGGAGTAGTGCATGAAGCAGAAGAAACAAGTTGCCGGATCCATCTGATGCCGTGTTGGTTGAGAAAGTATTGGGGAAAGTCTTCCCATTCAGCGAAGCAGGCCTCTTCGTACAGTCTGCGTGGATTCAGAGATTCCTGCTAGGAGCCAGCAAGTCAAATGCTGCATGCGGTACTATAAGTTTTGCTTACTTCCATTCCTTCAGCTTCAAAGGATTTGTTCTTACTGTACTTCAGTCTCGCGTGTCTCGCGTGTCCCGCCAAATCTGCGCTCCGAACGCGCCTTCCAACGTGCAGCTCATTCTGTTGCTTCTGGGCGCAGGGTACTCGGGTTGAAGTCGGAGGTGGTACAAAACCAATCTGCTGCATTTCTACCCCTCTTTCGCCCGAGCTCATGCAGCCTGAGCTCGGCACAGCATATCATGCTTCCTCAGAATGCGAAGTTCGGCCAGAACACAACTTCTCATTGGCGCGTTAGGCATACGACTTGCTAAACTGTTCGACCAGTAAAACTTCGAGATGGGTAGCTGCAAGGTCAAGCCGTCCTGCATGGTTCTTCATCAAGGCTCACGATTTCGCGAGTGCGACTTATGCCTTGTAGAATGAATGACTGGAGGAGCAGAGCTTGAGTACATAATCTGTTGCGCTGTCGCGATTTGATGCAAATTGATGGAAGAAGCAAGAGGGCATGATGATGATGGAAAGGTCTTAAAATGCCCGTGCGCAGCGCTACCGCCCAGATAGGAAAGTACCAACTTCACGCGTGTCAGGCTGGACCTCAATATCTCTTGCTTGCTCGGGAACGTTCGAATGGAACATTTAGAAGGCTGGGTAGATTGGCGAGTGGTTCCGAAGCTAGTCTAAGTCTACACCATTTCGGGACGCTCATTTGAAGACCCACTGATCGAAAACACTGAAGCATCGATGTCAGGCACCCCAGCATTCATAACTTGCTATTCAACAGAGCCACTTTCGGTATGCTAAAATTGGAAATGTCTGCATCAGTCTTTCCATCTAACGCCAGCTCAGCTGCTACGCGACCCAAAGCCGGCGCAAATTTGAAGCCTTGTGCAGCGCCCAACAACACAATGATTCCTGGATGCTTCTGGATTGGACCAACAATGAGCTGACGATTAGGTGTGACGGTGTACTGACAAGTAGCCGTCCTGAGCACTTGTCTGCCTTTATCCGGGATCAAGCTGTTCATTCTGGATTGGAGATTCTTAAGTAGCTGTTCTGAATGTACGTAGGTGCGGTTCGAGGGGTCCATGTAGTTCTTCGCGCTGTCTTGAGCGGCCTTGATCGAAGGCTCGCCAAAACATGGAAAGCCGTAGAATGATTCTTCCCGACCCATTGAAATCCAGACTGGGAATCGGCGATCCTCAAAATCGTCAGGCCTCGTTGGTTTGAAGTATGTGACTTGTTCTTGCGATATCACCAGAGGTATGTCGACACCAAGGGGTTTGGTGAGCTCATTTGTCCATGCATCCGCAGCCAAGATGACCTTTCGTGTGGTAAGTCTGCCATTGGCTGTGTCGACAGTGATGATCCCATTCCGTGGAGTGGATACTTTGGTGACCTTCGTCCTTTCTTTGATATCTGCACCGTGGAAAGTGGCAAGCCACTGCATGGCTGCAACCGAGCGACTGGCATGTGCCATTCCAGTGTCAGGTGTGTATACAGCATCGGTGTCGGAGTCCATGGAGAACTGCGGCCAGCGTCGATGGACTTGATCTGGGCTCAGAATCTCGAATGGTATATCGTTCGCCTTCAAACTCTGTGCATATTGACCAGAATTGAGCTCGCCCCCTGTCTTAGGGAAGAAGATGAGACCGCCCGTGATCGTGAGGAGTTTTTGCTTGGCTTCGGCTTCAAGGACAGCCCAGTCTTTGTATGCAGCCTTCGCGATGACCACGTATTCAGGAGTATTGTATGAAGTTCTGACAATTCGTGAGGTATCGTGCGACGCTCCATGTACATGGCCCAGCCCGAATTGCTCCAAGCCAAGGACCTTTGCTCCTTTCTTAGCAGCGTGATATGCAGCGGCACTGCCCAAAGCACCGAGACCTACGACAATAACGTCGTATTGACTCATAATGAAGCGCGTGGTAAACAGATCGATAAGACAGATGGTGGCTGTACTGGCCCCTGTACTGTTGGAGATCAGGCTCTTAACTCCTCCAAAAGTGACGAATGCACGTGAGCGGCGCGACTGCGTACGGGTTCAGCGACCCGTGGACACCGGTATTCGGCCCGGGTTTCCATCAGCCAACATCGCAGCCAAGCAGCGCCATGACTGTTTTCTGCGCTGTGTCTTCTCCAAGCTAGAAAATTTTGGACAGGGCATCAGCCTGACGGCCCGCAAAGACCGATCATGTGATTGTTCTCTTCGTCTATCAGACTCACCAAATGTTGGAGTAGGTGAATGAGTGAGAGTGATCTTGCCCTTACCATGTACTTGAGGAATCAGTCCAGACAACTGGGTTATCTGGGAAACCGGGGAAGAGGTAAGCCATATTGGCTCGTACCAATGTACCTGCAAGGCTATATAGCTCACTGACTTCTTGACTACTTGTCTCTTCTGCGTTCAATCTGTTCTTGAATTTAACTATCTCTTTAAATTACCTTACATCATGGCAGAGAAGACTATGTCCGACAAGTCCCCTGAGCAACTTATGTCAGGAGAACAGAGCCTGCAACCGGTACTATCTTACCGCCACGGCGAAATGGTTACTTTCACCGGGATCGATGAAGCTCTCTTCAAAAAGATGGAGCTTGTCAACGACGTAAGGGCAATAGAGATAAGTGACGAGGCCAAGAACCTGACATTCACAAGGCGATCGATACGATTGGGTTTACGCCTTTTCATGTCAAGATGTTCTGTCTAAGCGGGTTTGGGTATGTAGTAGCGTTACACCGTGATGAGCACGTCTTGTTAACTACCTTCGCATAGATACGCCGCCGACTCCTTGCTCGCATTTCTGCCCAGCATGACCAACTCCTACGTTGTAGCCGAGTTCACGCCATCGTACAAAAGGGCTGGCCAGCTTTCTCTGTACATCGGTCTCCTGGCTGGCGCTCTCGTCTGGGGGTCCAGTGCTGATATAATTGGTCGAAAATGGGCCTTCAATTTGTCATTGTTCTTTACCGCCATCTTTGCCACGGTCGCTGGAGGCTCTCCCAATTATGCCTCGTGGGGAGTCTTCAACGCACTTCTGGGGTTCGGAGCAGGTGGTAATCTGGCGCTCGACACGACAGTCTTGCTTGAGTTCCTGCCACACAAGCAGGGTTGGATCATAACTCTCATGGCTGCCTGGTGGGGAGTTGGCCAGACCATTGCAGGATTCATTGCTTGGGGTTTCTTGCGTACGTTGCCGACGAGAAAAGTGTACAATGGGCGAGCTGACGACTCCCAGCAAACTTCAGCTGGTCGTTGACAGCCCCCACCTGCACCAAACCCGAGAATATGGGCTGGCGATATGTCTACATCACGGCTGGTGCCCTGGTATTAGTCATGAGCGTTGCACGAGTGACGGTGATTCGGTTTAAGGAGACTCCAAAATACTCGCTCTGTCGCAACGATGACGAGAAAGTTGTTGAAGTCCTGGACGGCATCGCCACGAAGTACAAACGCCAATTTTCGTTGACGATTGCGGAATTGCAGGAATGTGGTCAGGTTCGAAGCACTCATGCGAGCTCCAAGGCTTCCCTCAGCGAGGTGTTTCTGCACATCAAAGGACTGTTCCTGACGAAGAAAGAAGGTCTGTCGACAAGTCTAGTCCTCCTCTCCTGGGCCATCATAGGACTGGCCTACCCACTCTTTTACATTTTCCTGCCCGATTACCTATCGAGTCGCGGTGCAGAGTTTGGTGAAAGCTCTGCTTTCATTACATGGCGCAACTATGTTATAACCAACACGCTGGCCATACCAGGACCTATGATCGCAGCCTGTCTGTGCAGAATCCCGCTCATTGGACGCAGATATACTATGGTGATCGGTGACTGTCATTTCGAGTATGATACTTCAATCTTCCCTTGTGAACGAAAGTTGACAAACTGCAGTGACTTTCCTCCTCGCGTACACCGCCGTCCGAAATGATGCACAGAATCTAGGGTTCTCTTGTGCCGTCAGCGTGGCAATTAACATTGTGAGTGGACTTTGGCGTCCGATCTGCCGTGATATTAGTGCAAGAGAGAAGCAGCTGACAATGCCTCATGACAATAGTATTACGGCACCTTATACGCCTACACTCCGGAGGTTCTTCCATCAGCGCATCGTGCGACGGGCAGTGGCATCTCTCTAGCATTGAATCGATTCATGGGAATCGTCTCAGTAATTGTGGCTACGTTTGCAAGCACCACAACTGATGTCCCAGTGTACCTGTGTGGTGCCTTATTTGGAGCACTAGCGATTGCTGCTGTACTGTTCCCATATGAGCCTGCAAAGTCTCGGGCTGAGTAAGACCTATATAATACACTGTATGTTTCTTAACAACGTGAATACGAATGAACTGCCGTTGAATGAGATCCAAAGCTACGAACCTTGTCACAGCCTGATAGAGTGGCATCTTCTTAGGCACTGAGCTTGAGCCGCAACTGTAGTTCAATTCAAGGATAGGGGTTAAGTATATCCAAGATTAGATAGAATATCGTCCTTACTTCAATATTCAACCCGCGTCAAACCCAAATCTTAACAGAGCCAAGCCATCGGGGAAAGGTCCTATTCCTTCATCAGGCCCACCCGCAGTTTGCCAACGGCAAACATGGATTACTTGAGATTATAAAAGCCTGTACCATGCAATGACACCAATTCGACACTCGTATGCCTCACGATAACGTTCGTCGAGTCTAGAATTGAATCAGGGGCCCAGCATGCCTGGCCCATTGCCATCTTCCAGATCTTCCTTGCACACGAAATGCTGCTCACGGAGCTGTCTTATCTTACATACGCCCGCATCCCGAGTTCTTCGACCCCGCAAAGAAATGCAGTGGCTTATCTTTGTTTGAGCGTCCTCGCCGCCGCGGAACGCTGGTACGCAGGCATTCGGACCGATCACATGATCGGAGAGCGGGCCGAGCATTTGTTGCACTTCCTGCTCTGAAATGCTCTTCGCAATCACACAATATAGAGTCAGCTGAGAGCACTCAGCACCAGAGAGGCAATGTATCAATTCACGGGGCTCACCAAATGCCGTACACAGCTTTGGCTTTGGCTCTTTTGAGCCTTTCGATCTTGGGTCTTATCACGCAACAACTTCTGGCATACTTTCGGGACTGGACTTCCGGTGGGAAAAGTCGAGCAAAGTCTCTCGAGGCGAAGAGTATTTCGCGAGCATTACCGGCCGACTGGTATAGGTCTGATGACCTTTACGAACTCGAGCGGAGAGCAATCTTCTCGAAAAAGTGGCTGCTTGTTACGCACAAGCTGAGGTTTCCTAATGCTGGTCACTGGATCAGGTTCGAGGAAGCCGGTTTCCAGTTCTTGGTTGTCAAAGGTCTAGATGGCTCGATCCGTGGCTTTCACAACATCTGCAGGCATCGAGGTTTCCCAATCGTAACGGAAGAAAGTGGCTGCTCGAAGATTCTTGCTTGTAAATACCACGGTTGGTCTTACGGCTTGAACGGTGCTCTTGCAAAGGCGCCAGGCTATAAAGACATTCAGGAGTTCAATAAAGACCAGAACAGTCTGCTTCCACTTCATGTCAAGGTTGACGATCATGGATTCATCTGGGTCAATCTAGACGCCAAACAGACACCTGAGACGCCGTGGGAAGCAGACTTCAGAGGAATAGACCAACAGGTGCGACACGAGTCGTTCAACTTTGACGACTACCATTTTGACCACACTTGGCACATGACCGGTGACTACAACTGGAAGACACTAGCGGACAATTACAATGAATGCTATCACTGTGCCACGGCTCATCCTGATGTGGGGGCTGTAGCAGATCTTGAGGCGTACAGTAAGTTATAATTCCAGCATCCCCATGTGAGATAGTGACAGGCCATGGCTAATGCGCCACTTTATGTGCAGAGGTCGAGACAAGAGGTGGTAATATTGAACATTTTGCCAGCACCAAGCCTGAACAAGAGGAAGCGGGCAACAAAGTCGTCAGCAACTATTACTTCCCAAACGCGTGCATGACAGTCACGTAAGTAAGCTTCTGTTCCTGAGTTTGGAGCCTATGCGCTGACCTCTCAAAGGCCGAACTTCTTCTACATGATGAGGTGTGTCCCCACGTCGACTAAGCAATGTTCCATGGAGTATGAGGTCTACAGACACAAAGATGCCACGGATGAGGCATTCAATTTATTGACTCGTTGTTCAAGAGAGTCCTGAACGAGGATAAATGGTTGTGCAACAATGTCCAGAAGACACTCAACGCAGGAGTCTTTGTGAATGGTGAAATGCATCCAACGATGGAAAAGGGTCCGTTGTACTTCCAGAATACGGTGCGTGAAATGCTCGAAAGTCACTGGAGCAAAGAAAAGGCTATTGGCCAAGAGATCTGGCCTGCTCGAAGGTCATTGCCCAAGGAAGCGACCTCGAGTGCTAGAGACTTAGCATTGTGCTCAGGTGTAGCCTGCAGCAAGAAAACCGATCCTGCCATTCTGTGGTAGGCTGTAGTAGAGTAGTAGTGATGACAACGAGATTTTGCATGGAACGATTCTTTTTCGCACGAGAAGCTCTAACAATACTTCCGGGCATCTAACGACCTTGCACCATCCAAATGTACGTCAATAACGACTACCATTGTGGTAAGGGCACTTTCAGTGCAAGGAGGTGGTCTTGGCGCTCGGCCGAGCGGCTCGCTTTGACAACCTGAGCTTTTCCATCATCTCCCAAATCCTTATCTCCATTGTCTTCTCACCGAGAATGCGTACCGGCGTCTTTTGGACTTGCATGTAGTGCGCAATCGACTCTTGAGTCCACCATGGCCCCTCTAGACAACGGGCGAGTGTCGAAACGCTCTGCCCAGGCCTGCCAAAGCTGTCGGTAGATATGATTATTGCCATACCTACAACGCAGTGGCGCTTTAGCAGGCTGACGATGTTTGCAGGAGGAAGAAAATCCGATGTCCAGGTGAGAGGCCGGCGTGCTCAACCTGTGCTAGACGGAAACAACAATGCCACTATGTGGCGGTCGCTCGATCGTCGCCGCTGGAGGTGCCTTTTGTATGTCGTCGATCGGAGTCTGGCACCGCTGTTCTGATCTAGCAACACAGGCTGATCGGATTGCTACAATCGAGGAGAAGTTGGAAGCCATTCTGAATTGCGCCAGGTCTGATCCTCACAACCACCCACGGCATCCGCATGGTTTCAGTACCCTGACACCCGGCACAGTGGACAAGGCACGACATCCGGAGATGATCCCTCAAACAACAATGGTAGTGATTATGGGTCAATCACTCCGACCGAGAATGCTTTGCTGGAGGAAGTGCAATCGAAGTAAGTCGATCCTGTCATCTCGACAACCTCACACATTGCTCAATCTTCAGTACAATACCTTCCTCTGATGAGGTTATCGAAGCGATTCGCTTGTACTTTCAACATTGTCATCGCCAACCGATTTGGTGCTTCGAGCATGTCGACCTTGAAGACGACAAGACATCACTAACTGAGGAATTGTTATGCTCCATCTTGGCTTTGACATCACGGTTTTTGCCGCAAGATGAGCAAGAGCCCAAGTACAGCGGCAAGGCCAGGAGTCTGATAATGTTGCGCATCGCCAATGGAACAGTAGGCATCGCGACAATAGAGGCTCTGTGCCTGTTATCGTTCTCTTTCATCTTAGGTAAGAGATGACAAGACCACTTCCTGACTTCGCAATCAGCTGAACAAGGCAACAGATGGGGACGTACGTCTCGGACAGTTCCACCTGGGTCTCGCAATGCATCTGATCCAAGCTGCCTCGCTAGACGTTGGTCACACATACAACACTGCCGACTCTCAGTGTGAGCGAAAGAAGAGACTTTTCTGGAGCTGGCAAATCCTCAACCACTACTACGGACGCCACAACCAGCTTTTCAGATCGGCTGGCGACATCTCGAGTCTGCTACGGCACGGCAACAGTAGCACCGTGTCTGAAGTTGGAGACGGCCATAAACCCACATCGCTACCACCTCTTCCGAAAGATCCCATTGGAGTCGCAAATTCCGACGACCCCGACATCTGGTGTTTTACTGTGCAGCTCTGCTGGATCTGGGATCAGGTGCACAACTGCATATCTGATTGTGCATCAGACCGTCTCATAGTCCCCTGGCTACACGACTCCGCGTACAGCATTATCAATTCAAATCTCGTGCAAGTAGAAGATATTATGCCGACCTGTCACCGCTATGACTCTGCCAAGTACTACGCACACAACTCCGAACGTCTGCAGCGTGATGCTGCCTACTGGAATCCCTGGCTGAAGATGCAGCTGACATTCCACGCCGTGCATGTGGTGCTTAACCACCCCTTCTTATATATTTCAGCGGCACGAAGCAACCCAAGTTTAAACACCACGAATACATTCTGGAGGAGATCGTCAGAACTGGTGCTCCTGCATGCGTCCTGGATAGTGCGCATGCTAGAGATGGTACAAGAGAAAGAGCAACATCTTAACGACCCGTTCTTTGCACATGCTGTTGCCATTGCGGCCACAGTCCATATGTTCTACAGCTACTCGGCGAATCCAAAGCTTCGTACGAAGTCAAACGCCGATATGGAAACGTGCAGGCATTTCTTGAGAAGCTTTGCCAGCTTTTCGCCCGCTGGTGCAAAATTGGTAAACCTCTCATTGTCAAAGTCATGCTTATCTCAGACCTAACGACAATTTTCGAACAGGACGAAAGACTGGGAAAGATGCTGCAGCTTGCGTCAGCACCCACAGAAGGTCAAAATAGGCTATCACTGTCCTCAACCATTCGACTCAGCAACCACCTTACGTGGGAGATCTTGAACTTCGACCTCGATGGCGATGCTAAAGGTCCTAGCGCAAACGACCTCTTCGACTCCTCGCTCACCTCCCCCAGTCGAAAGGGGCAAGATTCTCCAGATCTTGAAGTCTTGGTTTCGAACTCGCCCGAGGTCGTAGTCAACACTTACGATGGAGGCCAGACCGCGCGGACTGGCTCTTCACATACATATCTATCGACAACTGATAACGGTATCGCCGGCCCTTGGAGTAATCGTTCTGCTATGACCTCTCCTGAGAATACACTTGGTAATGACGCTTTGCGGCTCTGGACCGATCACAGCCTTCAGCTCGAAGACTTAAATCCATATCTAGTGGATGCTTGTAAGAATGATTTGGGAAGCTCCTCTTGGTGGGACTTAGGCAACTTCTGACTGGGGCTTCGATTGCAGGGAATCCATTCGTTACTGTAACTTGCGTTCACTCGTGCGATCTCTTCATTTCTGCCGAACAAGTGTGAACGGTTCGCAAGCTGCAGCCTTATCTCCTGATCCGATTACGGCATCTTAGTCTCGTAGAAATAGACCCCCTCCTCACATCCGCTTTTCCCCAAAAAGTCAAAGCTCCGACCCCGAGACAACCGAGCAACCTCACTTCCTGTCTGACACGATGCCGCAGCTCAACAATGTCATCACATCCTCGACATGATCATCGGCAGGCGTCATTCGCTTAAGAAAAACCTCTTCCCCATGCTAGCAGACAACATATGCCGACCTCAAAACCCAACGAGAGCGAAGCGCTGTCGACGGAGGAACAGCTCAAACTCTGGAGTATAGACATCATCCGCAGCGTCAACGCCCGCAATCCGCGAGCCATACTGGAAAAGTACGCGGCATCGGACTATGTCTATGAGAAGACTGAAGATAGCGGCCAAGTCCTCCACCTGGACGCCGAAGGGATGCTCCAGATTCGGGAATTTTACTTGCAGCGATTGAGTCCGCAAGCGTCTGCCGAGGTGTTGAGCACAGAGGTGCAAGTTGATTGGGATAAAGGCCGGGCGCTGGTTTGGGTAGGTATGCTGGTTCGGAACGACGCCAAGGGTGTGATGCGGGAAAGGATGAATATTCACTCATGAAGACTGGAGAAGCGGGGGAAAGCTGAGGAGAGATGGGTTTTGTGGAGAGAGCATACTTCGGCTGCTTTTGCGCATATTACCGGAGTTTGAGTTGTTGTACGATTTGGCTTTGAGTTTGGCCCTCGACTACTGAGGAGTGCGAAGGCGGACTTGCGACGATGCTCATGTGGGTGCCCGGCGTTTTCGGGTTAGCCTGTCGGATTCGAGAGATGCAAGACGAGCGAAGTGCTTGCATGATGGAGGCTTGTGTTGAAGCGGTAGCAAATGGGATGGCCATTCGAGTCTCCTACCCAGGGATCTAGCGTTCCCTTGGGGGCAAGACGAACGATAGAACGGTCACGACTTACGACGAGAAAAGGAAACATGCATGTGCAAGGATTATTCTTTTGATCAAAGTACTGCTTTCCTCAAGGGGATATTCTATAAAACAGATCAAATCTACCTCTCGCGCTTCTGATTCAATCTCAGATGGAAAGTCTTAGATGAAACGATCAACGACCTTCTGCGTAACCTTCCCACCAACATTCTTTCCAAACCACGATCTGCCATTCGCCTTGCCACCAGTCGCGAGCTCAATGCCCTTGCTCACGACCTTCTTCTTCGGCTTGAAGACGCACCAGTACCAGATCTGGAAAGCCGCCATCAGCGTGAAGCAAATCACGAAGACGGCGATGACGATGCCCATGTTGGTGTTGGTTTTCCGGAGGGCGGCGAGCTTCTTGTCAATGGCGCTGGTTGGGCTAGGCTGGGTGGTGTTGGCTGCGGAGGGGTAGGAATAGGGGTTCCACGAGGCCGTTGAGCTTGGGCTACTGCTGGGCTTGCTGATCTTGGTGGATAGGGTGGTGGGTGTGTTTGAGGTTGGCTTTGGGATGGAAATTGACGACTTCTTGGTCGTGCTTGAGACGTTCGTGGAGGATTTTGGGCTTGACGTTGGCTCGTCCTCGTCGTCATTCTGTGAAGACGTGGACTGAGGCTTGGAACGAGTCGTAGTGGATGGCTCGTCCTCATCAGTCTCTCTTGAAGTCGTCGACTGGGGCTTTGGGCGAGTTGTCGTAGTTGGCTCATCATCATCGTCATCACGGGACTTCAAGCCTCGCATGATGGCATCAATGGTGGGGGTAGCCGAAGTTGTGGACATGGTGATGCTGTAGGACATCTTGACTGTGGTGGTTGGGTTGGGTTGTGTGAAGAGTGCGATTCTGCTAGCCAGAGCAAGAAAAGGGAGTTCTTCGTTGAGAGTGGAGTACCTGACACAGAAGAAATGTCATCCGTGGCGGGCGGTCTTGATATATATCATGGAATGGCTGTTGTGGTCGGGTACGAAGAGCGTTGTACGTTGTGAGCGCGAACAACGAACTTGTGAATAGAACAATGCTGGTGTTTGTGAAGCGAATGAGAAAGACAATTCACTTAACGTCTCGCGGACAAAGAGAACTGAGAAACGAATTAGCCTCGCGATGATCTTTTTCCTATTGTGTGATCTTCAGATAGGCCTTGCAAAAGGTACTTCGCTGACTTCTTTGCGCTCGTATGCAGAATCCACAATCTCAGCCTCGCCACGAAGTAGAAATTTCAAAAGGGAAACGCCTCCGGACTCGTCCTCTGCGCCTGCCGAGCCTGCTGCCGGTACGCTTCGGCCCTTTCAGTCCTCGCAGATCTCCTTTGCTCAGCCTCACGAAGCTCCGCGCCTCGCTGGGCATGGAACTCTTCTCGAGTCGTGTTGGTGAGGACTTCCCAGATGCTCAAAGCACGGGAGTCTTCATCGGAGAAGGTGCCGTCGCTTTTCCTGTTCGCCACATCACAGCGTAGCTGGATGGTCTCGGGCTCTCGGCGGTTTTTTGCGGCGACCTTGCGCTTGTGGCGGCGGTAGAAGAAGAACTGGGACGTGTTAGATGTTGTACCGGAGAGCTATATGAAATAGAACTTACTGCGAGGCCGATGACCAACAAACCGCTGATCAAGCTTACGGCGATGGTCGCTTTGCCCGCCGGCGTCTGTTCGAAGGAGTGGAGGGTCTGCACTGGCGGAGAAGTCGAAGAGGTTGAAGCGTCTTGAGAGACTGTTGAGGAGATAATGATTTCGAATGTAGAAGAAGGTGGCGTTGCCGGGGTCGTGGAGCTGAAGATTAATGTAGCAGTTGAGGAGGATGCCGTGCTGGCAGGAGTCGTAGTAGCCTCTACCGTTGCTGGAGTCGAAGAAGGTGAAGTTTTGCTCGTAGCTGTAGGGTCCACGCACGAATAGACAGCGCCAACCCCACCAGGAATGACACTGGCTGGGCAATTGATCGGGCATGCGCTGATTTCCCTGACGACATCTCCGCAGGCTCCCTTCGACATAATCTCCTTAGCCGACTTCGTCGGTAACGGCTCTGTTCTCGTAGTTGAAGGCCCAGGAAAGATTACAACGGTCGATATTGGTGTTACGGTGACGAAAACCTTGGGCGAGGCTGTCTCCTTGGGCATGCACGTATATTGGGTAACGGGGTATCCAGGGAAGACGCTGATGGACTTTGCGGTGCATTCCTCCCCACAACGGTTTTTGTCTGTCGTTGTAAAGTCGCATGCGGCCTTTGCGACCTTCACGAAATTTTGCTGGGTGGCATTTGGCTTCAGTGAAGAGTGCGAACCAATCTTCCATGGCGTCTCCGGCTTCGTGGTGTTTGCAACCATTGTCGCCTCGTGATGAGATCAGGCTGTTGTGAATTGTTTCGAGGAAGGCTGAGAAATTGAGAGCGGCTTTCGGTGGTTGATCCAGAAATAGCAGTGCTTCGAAGAAATCCTGAACAGCGGAACGTGAAAGAGCAATGTCGCAGGAGTTGCACGAACTGCGGGGTATTCGAGAATCGTATAGCAGAGTTCCGTAGGGGTAATGTAGTGTGAAAAGCCTCCAACAGCTAACCTGTAGCTGCGATAGAAAAGGGGTGTATGTCTCGAGTTGTACAGTCATGCTGCGACCACAAAGCAGAGAAAGTATATACAGCCGCTGCTATCAACATTCATAAGCCAGCGAGTGTGTTCAGAAGGAAAAGAAGTATAAGCATCCAGCTACAAGAAAAGGAAAGGGTTTCAAACATCTGATAGCAAAAATACCGATCAGAAGCAACTTTCACATGCTTTCTTCCTCCTACTCGTTCACCTGCTAAGCAAAAGGTCGGCTATCTGCCTACTATTCTAGAGAAACCGGTACTCGGGAGATCCGATCCTTTTCCAAGCATCTGCGGGCTTCGATAACTTCCTCCTCTGGCTCTCACCGCGGGTGGGTGCACTAGTCGAGGACAATGGCTTGGGAATGAGAAACGTTAATTCTAAAGCCCTGCCCCTGCAGGGAGTTGGAGGGAGGGATTTGGCTTCTTCAGCCTCGCTCAGGTACTTGCTACCGCGGACGATGAAGCCGTTTTCTCGGATGTCGTCGAGGAAACGATCGAGCTTGCGGTTGATGGAGCTGAGGATTGATGATGCGGAGGGTTTGGTGTCGTTTTCTTTCATCTTTTGTTTGTTCATGAGGCTCAGCTGCAATGATGCTGGCTTCGTCGAGGGTCTTCTGCTCCGTTCTCCGTCGTGGGTTGATGGCTCGTGAGAAGAAGTATGAGTTTCAGTTGATCTAGTGGTGTCAGTTCGTGTGAGGTCCGAAGGGCCACTTGCCTGCGGGTATGCGAAAGTCTGCATGTTCTCGGTGATGATGGATCTGTGTTCCAATTCTGACTGAAGTGATGGTTTTGAGAGACCAGCTCGTCAAACGTCCTGCGTTCGAATTTGGGTTGGAGAACGAAGTATCGTGTGTAGTGTTGGGTATTGAATGTGTCAGAAGTCTCGTAGAAGCACTGGTACCATATAGCGTGCCTTTGTTCACGAAGATGTATTCCAGCAGCTTTGTCGCAGAAGCCACCGAGTCTAGCGAGACAATGAAAACCATTGTCGTATGAATGTCTCATTGTCTGTCTCAAAATAGTTCAGAGGTAAGTCGTCTTGAGACTTTCAGATTCAGTTCTCTCCAGCATCAGCACAACATCACATTCGTTTCGTCCCTCTGGAAGGCTTTTCTTTTTTTTTTTGATCCTTCGATATGAAGACAGAGCTGGACTACTGTCTGTTGACTTACACGTGCGACTGTGCCGCTACAATTGCCTCTACCGAAGACCACGACGAGGAGCAGTCCTCCGAGAGGGAACCATTCGAGTTCGGGCGGTGTCGAATTGTGGAGCGTCAAAACTTTGACCGCGATTGCGACGACCCGTTGTGCAAATGCAAAGACAGTGCCGAATCCCGAAAGAAGGAGGTTCACCGATTGATTAGACAAATCCAGTCCCGGTGCAGGGAGAACTCGACAGCGTACATCAAGCTTGGGCAACGGTTTGTGCATCCTCACAAGCTTGAATATGGAGCAGTACTAACACTCAGATCCAGGTACCACTCATGCCTGCTGCGGGCTCGGATGAGACTGTCCAATTCCAAGCTATGTGCGCCGGCGCATGAGCAATTCGCCATCTCAACGACACCACGACGAGATGACCCATTCTTCAAGTTGGACGGCAAAGTCCAGAGCTTGCTATTTGGGCCACGTATCGCCATCCAGGATGTTGAAGACGTCCATATCCTGAAGCTGGCCATGAGAGTGGTCAACAAAGCCCTCTTCCTGTCATGTCTCAAGGCGGAGATGATGCTCTCTAGAGTGGGCGTGAATGCGATCGTGGCTGCCGAAAGAAAAGAGTTTGGCCCAGTTACGCCCAGGGGCGAGGTCAAGTCGAAGGGTTTACCTCAGAAGGATTCTGCTTCTGGCAAGGAGCAGAAACACACTCTGCCACTTCCTAGAAAGCTTTCATTGCCGGACGATGAAGCTTTCAGTGGAAAGTCAATTAACCATCCGTTGTCGTCCTGCAGGTCGAGCCCACAGAAATCTTCAGGCTCTGCGGCCACTGCAACCCACACCGAGGCCGCCAGGCTGAACAGTAAGATCATGGGCTCGAAGAGAGCAAAGCTGCCTCGCCATCCAGACTATACATGGCCGGTGCATCGTTGGTCGATGTACAATCCACGAGGCCTCGTGCAGCGGAATTCTTGCCCTCTTAGTTCACGCAAGCTGAACGCCAGGGCAGGCTTACAGAGGAACAGCGAGCGGGAGAGATTGTTTCAGAAGATGATTTACGGGCAATGGATGAAGGGAGTGAATGGTCCGAGGTCGGGATGCGTGGATAGTCCGGACATGTAGGCAATCTGGCCCTTGTAGTGGCTTCTGAATTCAGTGCTTCTGCCACCTGATGCTTCCCTTGACGTTCACGTGCAGTTCGGCAATTCTGTGGTTGGAGTGGATGAACTAGTGAATATGAGACAGATCCGTCCAGAAGGTCTTAGAGCCGACTCGAGGCGAGGATGTTGTTTGAAACAATGTTAATGTCTCCAAAGTCCACAGTCTTTGATGAGACATGTGCAAGTCATAATTCACCAGCCAGACATGACAGCAAAGTTGTTCTGCGACCATATATTGAGCCTGTCTCCGGTCATTGTTGTTGCAGCAAAGTAGCCACAGGCGGTCCAAACAAAACGGCAAACAGCCATGACATCGACATCGAAGGAAGCCGTTGTAGTCACGCTCGCCTGTCCCCACTTCGCAGTATTCCCAGCAGGTAGCTATCGTGCCTTCACCGAAGCGCTGGCTCGAGACGACTTCATCAAATGGCAAGATCTGCTGCACACACATTCTGAATCCCGACGGTCGCTGGACGGCCTCTGGAAATATTCTCCAACAGTCCTGATCCCCACGGAATACCATTGCGGACGAAATGAATGCATCCTTTATCCTGGAAGATGGCCACGGGAGCTGGGAAAGATCCTTGTGGGGTTGAACGAGTTCTGGGAACATCGTAAAAGTCTCTACCTCCAGATGGGCGAGGAATACTTCGACATGGTTCTGCTCCTACCGGCCAGCGCAATAGATGGCCAGACGAGCTTGATGGCCCACAAGCAGTTCGTCGTAGAAACCCGACAGTGGACCCAAGACCCTTTCTTCGAGTCTTGGAGGGAAGCGGCGACTGCAATAGAGGCCGCCATGCTGACGGCCGGAAGGGATTCTTTGGCGAATACTCAAGATGCTCTGCGGTGCCTCATCCGAGGAATGCCTAATTTTCTCCGGATGACCAACGACATCTGGGAGCTGAAGGAGTTGGTAGCAGAGCATTCTGAGCAGTTGAGAGCACAGAGTGTGACTGCACAACAGCGTTCACGGCACGGGCGTTTCCCGGTACAGAGTGATCTTGCAGTCCGCAAGGAGGCTTTTGCTCATGCAGCTCGAAAGACTTGTGAGAAGCGCATGGAGGGCTTCGAGGATTTCGGTGTGAAGGCCATGAGCGTGCCAGACCGAGAATCGAAAGAGCAGCCGGAGGAGGAGGAGCTTCCAATTGTGAGTCGTACCTGGCCTGAAGTGAGATGCCCAGCTGATCCATTTTGAAGGGTTATCCCCGTCCCTCAGTGGATGTCAATGTTGCGGAGAATGTTATTGATGCCATGGACTGGTATTGAGAGCTGCGAGATGCGGAGATGATGGAATGAAGTGAGGTAAATAGCTGAAGTATGGCGTATTACAGTCAGTGAAGAACTTGATATTGGCGCTTCAAGTTGCGCCTTGTCCTGAAGTGAGGTTCCTCGGCCGGTGTTTATGGAAAGATTATCCCCATTCGTTGGTGGAGGTCAATGCTATCGAGAATGGTATCGGTGCCATGGATTGGAGCTAAGAAATGTGAGATATCGGAGAGAAAGCGCCAAGGTGAGGTAAATAGCTCAGATAGGGGCCACGGCAGCAGGTGAGGATGAGGCGCTTCCCATGGTACGTTGCACCGAAGCATGAAGTAAGGTTACCCAGCTCATGTATTTCCAAGATTCATCCCCGTTCCTCGGTGGTTGTCAATGTGGCAGAATATGGTATTGATGCCGTGGATTAGTGCCAGGAACTGTGAGATGTTGGGGAGAAAGATCCGAGGTGAAGTTCATAGGCGGGCAGGAACCCGGCGAGGAAGGTGAGATTGCCGCTCTGGACACCCTTTCCATACGAGGTGAAGTAGGGCAGCTTGCATGTAAACCCAGACCCATCTCCAATCCCTGGCTCCCGAGAGTTATGTTGATGACTGGACCGATGCCATGGACAGGCATGAGATCTCGGGGATGGGAGCGGGAAAGTTGTCAAGTGAGGTCCTCCTACTCCAGATTGGTGAAGCCGATCAAGATCACTTCACTGAATAGGTGAAAATGCCCATGCAAGCTACCGCGAGGTGAATGTGATATGTGAAGTGTGCCGTGTGAGGTTCCGCTGGTTTCAGGTAGGTTCTGCGCCCCTAGGGAGAGGATTAAAGCCGCGCCCGCCCACGAGGAATTCTGCCGCTTCTGCACGCGCTCCAGCTATCACAAAACACGCTTTTATAACCAAAATTCAACTTCACATACTAAAACACCGCCAACATGCCCGCCGACATGAACAAGATTCCCTGCGATGAAGAGAGCGGCGCCCTGGTGCGCACCAAGGTGGAAGGCGGCCTCGCGGAGGTGAAGCAGCGCCTCGAGAAGGCCTGCAGCCAACACAAGGAGCTGTACGAGAGGTAAGTCGCAGCCATCGATTTCTGCTCGTTTGCGCTGTTTGCTAACCCGTGCGCCACAACAGATACCAGGCCATCCCAGAGGAGGCCCGCTCCAACAGCAACATCACCCAGCAGCACCGCGAAGACTGCCACAGCGAGTTCGCATCATCTCCGGGTATGTATGATGGAATCCTGGGCGTGATCGGCGAGTCGGTGGCAGAGGCAGCAGCAGAGCTGGAGAGCGGAGACGTCGACAACTGTTTCGAGTCCTTGCGCGGAGCGATGGAGTTCCTGGAGCCCATCGAGAAGAAGATCATCGACTACGAGACCGCCATGAAGGCACACGAGCAGACCGTCACGAAGCTTGCCGATGAGAAGGAGAAGGCGAAGACAAAGGAGCAGGCGAAGGAGAAGGAGAAGGCCGGCAAGGTGAGGAAGCCCAAGAAGCACAGCAAGCAAGATCCGATTGACTTAAACTACTAGATCGGAGTACCAGGACGAGCACGGCTGGATTGAACAGATTGTCACGGCGACATGAATGCGGTTGAAGACATTGAAGATGAAGAAGAGAAGAAGACGGAAGACTGTGAAAGCTGAATCAGCGAACAGCAGCTGGGAGCACTTCGGATATGCAGATGAGAACGGAATCGCAGAAACGAATACCGCACGCACCTAGGACTTTCCGCCCGTGACTGGTGTCTTTCATGTGATTGTTGATGAATGTGAAAGGCGACGAGTGAAGTGACGTTGAAAGCTTAGAAGCTTGGACCTCGAAAAGTGGGTCTCTTTGCAGCAAGCGTGAGTGACATCTCGATCATGTGCCTGCGGCTCTGCGACCTACCTTGCCTGACCTTGAACCTTGATGCAAGTGTCACCACCTTGAGACTGAGCTGTCGCACGACCATCCTTCCTACGAATCGCACTCGACCCTCGACACCGGTCGCCTAGACGTCTGCCGCCTGCCGCCTCCGAAGTTTGCTGTGCCAGCGCCTGATAACACCGACTGGGACGACCGATTCACAGCGATCCTCCCTCCACGTCTCTCTCCTCGATCATTCCGCCACAATGTCGTCCAGAAAGAAGATCCTCCTCAAGGTATGGAATCAGAGTGAGCTAGGCACTGGCAGATACTGACCACAGCAGGTCATTATCCTCGGCGACAGCGGTGTCGGCAAGACGAGCTTGATGAACCAATATGTACGTCGCGGTCATACACTTTCCTTTTGCCAGCGCTCACACATGAGACCCAGGTCAACAAGAAATTCAGCGCATCCTACAAAGCGACCATCGGCGCCGATTTCCTGACCAAAGAAGTCCTTGTCGACGACCGGTTAGTGACGATGCAACTGTGGGACACCGCCGGCCAAGAGCGATTCCAATCCCTAGGCGTCGCTTTCTACCGCGGCGCAGACTGCTGCGTGCTGGTATACGACGTCAACAACTCCAAATCCTTTGATACCCTCGACTCGTGGCGGGATGAGTTCCTGCTCCAAGCTAGTCCCATGGATCCTGAGAGCTTTCCGTTTGTGGTCTTGGGGAACAAGGTGGATGTGGAGGAGAGTAAGAGAATGATCAGCTCGAAGCGGGCTATGGCGTTTTGCCAAGCGAAGGGCGGGATACCATACTTTGAGACCAGCGCGAAGGAGGCTGTCAATGTGGAGCAGGCATTTGAAGGTGAGTCATGACATCGATGAGAATGGACACAAGCCAATCGCTCAACGACGGCGTCCTGTGACGGACAAAGCTAATGGCGCCGCAGTAATCGCAAGAAACGCCCTGGCACAAGAAGAGTCACAGGACTTCAACCCAGACTTCCCCGAGACGATCCCCATCAACATCGGCGAGAACGAACAGGGCTGCTCCTGCTAGACGAAGAATCTCAAAGGCTTGTCATATCGTTCGTGGAAACTTAGCATGCATACACTTGGCGTTAGGAGCAACATGTCAACTGGCTTCGGAGTTTTTGAAGCAGAATACCAGAGTTACCTAAGGGCAGGCCAAATTGTACAGAGCGCTTTGTGCGTTGCATGCACCAGTATGGACGTTCTTTTTCATCTCGAATTTCATCACAACCTGCGCGAAGTGTAGAGGGATGAGGCTCATGTTCGAACTGACGCTTTGTAGTATACTACATCCGAGTCACCTCATCGAGTGACTGGTCCAAATTAACTTGTCATAGGTTACCCCATGAGCATGCCCATCGCGTAAAGAAGACCGCCGATAACTTGTTGAGTCATGTGGCTGTACTCAGTTCAGGATGTCATGGATGGAGCTGCGGCCCTTGACCGACGATGACGGAGAGGCATCACTGTTCGGGACCAGACGAGAAGCCTGCGGTGTTGAAGTCAAAGTCGGCGCATCCGATGCTGGAGGCGTTGATGCAAGATGCATAGCGAAAAGACCGACGGGAGATTCTGAGGCTGGGTTACCATGGCCCGTTGATGGTGGTGTCTGGTTCGAGGAAGGGGAATCGTTCCAAGCTTTTGAGTTGGGATATCCCGTAGCTGGTGCTCCTGGATGACTTCGATTATCACCGGGTAGAGTAGAGCCATAGCGAGAGTCTTGCCCGGGAGGCAATGTCGTTGATGCTGCCAAAGGTGCCAAACGCCGCTGCAACTGTCGTGGTCTGCGGGAACTCTCCGAGCTGCATTCGGTTTTGCGACTAGCTGCACGGCAGCGAGAACATTTGAATCCAGGATGGTCTATCTGGTCTCCACCAGTGGCAGAGTATCTCCAACATTCGTATCCCCTGAGGACACATCTCGCGCGGCGATTGTCTCCGTGGACTTGTTCTCCTAATTCCGTCTCCATAATGCGGGCGAGGTGGCGGTACCTTTGAGCCCACTAATCAACATTGCCTTTGTGGCCTCTGCAGACAAGTGAGTGAGCGGTATCAGTGGCAAGTGATGGATCAACGCACATGATACCTCGTGACCAACACTTGTCGAGAACCTGTGGCTGATATGGCTCTTTGGATTTGCCGGATGTCCATTCCCACGCCAGACGCGGTTGATCGGCGATCTGTTGCTTCTCAAGATCTGATTGCTGTAGCGATGTGTCCATGATGCTGGTGATATTCGTGGTTGCGGTCTGTCGTTTGGCACGAGAAAACGAGAACGCCCATCCTGACGAAATGGTAGTGCCTCTCCTCCATATGAAACTACCCCCGCGGGACACATGCCGTTTCCACAGCGACAGGTAGTCATTTGAGCTTTCTCCGTGCAGAGTGAAGTTGCGATGAATTGTAGAGACAGAGCGACTCAAGCGCTAGCGAAGAATTGTGGGTCCGTCTTGTGATCCGTGCGTCAACAACTTCCTCACTTCAAACAACCGCGTTCCTTGGTCAACCTAGCACTCGACACGATATTAGCCCCAACGCAGCAATGTCAGGACCAGGACTTGCTCTTCCAGGCCAGACACTCGGCGCATCAAGCTCCAACGAGATCGGCTCAGGCATACACATCCACAATGACCAACTTTGCGCAAGCATTTCGGGCCCAATCCTCACATCAAAACCATCGACGTCAAGCAAAACTTCAAAACCACCTATAGTCTCTATAGCACGGACAACGGGAAATCTCCTTCCAGAAGCCGGCACCACCATCCTTGGGAAAATCACCCGCACCAACCCACGCCAAGCGAACATCTCCATCCTCGCCCTAGGCTCCACGGGCGAACACGTCTGCCGCGACCCATTTCCAGCCATCATCAGACAGCAAGACATCCGGGCGACGGAGATTGACAAGGTCAAAGTGGCGGAAAGTTTTCGAGTGGGTGATGTGGTGCGGGCCGTGGTGATCAGTTTGGGTGATGAGAGGAGCTATTATTTGAGCACGGCGAAGAATGAGTTGGGGGTTGTGATGGCTGTTAGCGAGTGGGGCAATCAGATGGTGCCTGTGAGTTGGAGGGAGTTTATGGATGAGAGTACGGGCGAGAGGGAGGCGAGGAAGGTGGCGAAGCCGGTTTGAAGGGATGCAGACGCCTCTTTACCAAGGGCAAAGTCTCGACATTCTCGGAGAAGTTCGTCAAGAGTCTCTCATTGAGCAGTAGTCACCGGATGGGACAGGATCTGGCCAAAATGCTCGCAACGCAGTCTCAGCGGCGAACTACCCTCAGAGATACGGCAGTTTTCTGGACTCTACAACGCACTGGAAACATATACCACGGGAGCAACCAAGTTTGGTCCATCTTTCGGAGGCTTCTTTAGCCTGATGGACCTGCCTCGTGGCTAAGTTGCAGTGAAGAACTGAAAGCGGTCCTTCAGGTGGCTTGCAAAACTCGACCTCTAATAACAACAGCGTCTGCGATGCTAATCAAACGCCAGCATCCTATAATTGTTCGCAGAGTTGTTTTATGCCCTCAAAATGAAGCCGAGAGTTGATATCGTCGTCGCAAGTTTTCTTCCTGCCTCAGGCACACATGCGCGCTTAACGCCGCGCTACCTCCGCCCCTCCATCTCAAATTTCGAGCAATTCCAACATCTCGCGCATCCTCCTACACATCCAAACAGCCAACACAACGCACCACCCACCATGTCCTCCATGCGCAACGCCGTCCAACGGCGCAACCACCGCGAACGCGCCCAACCGACCGAACGCTCTAAATGGGGCCTCCTGGAAAAACGCAAAGACTACAAACTGCGCGCAACCGACCACAAAACCAAGCAAGCGAAAATCTCCGCGCTCAAAGCCAAAGCCTCCGAGCGGAACGAGGATGAGTTCTACTTCGGGATGATGCAGGGGAAGGATCGGAGGCAGCAGCGGGCGGAGGGGAGCGGTGGGGGGAGGAGTTTGGATCAGGAGGTTGTGCGGTTGATGAAGACGCAGGATGTGGGGTATTTGAGGACGATGTTGCAGAGGGTTAGGAGGGAGAGGGAGAGGGTTGGACGGGATGTTGTGGCGGGGGGTGTTGGGGTTGAGGTGTTGCCGGAGGCGGTTGTTGGGGGTGGGAGGAAGGTGGTTTTTGGGGAGGATGGGGAGGTTTTGGAGCCGGTGGGGGAGAGGGGAGGGGATGAGGAGGGGGTTGATGAGATGGATTTGGATGATTTGGCGGGTCTGGGTGGGAGCGAGGGGGAGGAGGAAGAGTCTGAGGAGGAGGATGAAAATCTCACGCCAGAGGAGAGGGAAGCTAGGCGGAAAAAGCGACACCTGTTGGATGTGAAGCGGAGGAAGCTGGATGCTCTGAAAGACCAGGAAGAGAAGCTGTCGGCTGCACTGGACGAAGTGGAAGAGCAACGCGCAAAGATGAACGGGTCAATAGGTGGAGTCAACAAGAGCGGCGTCAAGTTCAAGCCAAGACAGCGGAAGAGATGAAGAGAATAAGGCATGATTGTACAACGCATGAGATACCCAATGATACATTCTGCTACATCTTCGACGGCATTCTCGTTCCTCCATCCAGTCTTATGCACTCGCCGTTCAGGTATGTGTTCTCGATGCAATGCCTGGCCAAGCCCGCGAATTCCTTAGCATTGCCCAATCTCTTTGGGAACTCCGTCACTTTCGTGAGAGTCTGACGGACCTTCTCAGACAGCGCAGCGCTCATAGCTGTCTCGAAAAGACTTGGGGCGATCGACATGGCACGAATACCGTTCGGTGCGAGATCTCTGGCGAGCACGAGGGTCATGCTTCGGACCGCACCTTTCGACGCCGCATATGAGAGCTGACCGACTTGACCTTCGAAAGCGGCCGACGAGGATACCATGACGATCACGCCACGCTCGCCATCCGGAGTCGTGGGCTCGTTTCTGGCCATGTGTGGGAGAAGCAGCCGGATCGTGTTCAACATGCCCTTGAGGTTGATATCTATGACGAAATTCAACCTCGACATGTCGACGGGGTTAAGATCTCTGTCCAGAAGTTTCGCCGGGAGCCCAACTCCTGCCAGAGGGAGGATGCCGCCCATAGGTTTGCCCGTCTGCTTGATCCATGCGACAGTCCCATTGACAGCTGCTTCCAGACTCTCAGATTCGGTGACGTCGACTTCGAAGAACTTTGCGCGGTCGCCGAGTTGCTTGATGACTTTCTCCCCGTTGGCTGGGTTCATGTCCAGGATCGCGACGTAGCCTCCATTGGCGTAGAGTTCTTCGGCGGTTGCGAGACCCAGGCCGGAGGCGCCGCCGCTGACGACGAAAGTTCGGTCTTTGATGTGCATTTTCGTTTGTTGTGGTGATGGAGAGGAGGAAGATTGAGGTTTGGGAAGATATATGTAGATTGTCAAAACGCCGAGGTATCTTGACTACCTCGTTCCACACGAAGGCTGTTGATCCCTTGTCCTATCTGTTGGGCCCCAAGATGAAAAGGCTGTTGGATCGTGAGAATTGATGTCTCCTGCACTGGTCAGCTTCGATGATGGAAGAGCAGACGGAAAGCTCAGTACATGTGAAGGTGGTCGAGATGTCTGTTTGCATGTGATCCTGCATCGCCCCGCAAAGTCACCAGCCACTCGTGGCTGAACGTCACGACTCGCGTGCCTGAACTTCCATTCAACCTTCAAGAAAGTGAACCTCGTCCAACTTGGCACACTTCGACTGGTCGAAGCACGAGCGACCGCAGACCATACACACTCCCACGTCTTAGCGACTACATCCGCGACCCCAGATACCCCTCCACCCACCGCCATCATGGCCACCAACGGCCACCCAGCAACACCTCCCCCATCAGACCCATCCGCCAAACCAGAGACACAAGCCCGAGCCGACCCCGACGTACCTCTCACATCCACGCAAGACGATGGCCAATCCAAACGCCCTCGCGACGCCCGGCTAATCCACGTCGTCCTCTCCTCCCTCGGAATCCACAGCTACCAAGAACGCGTCCCCCTCCAACTCCTCGACTTCGCCTACCGGTACACCAGCGGCGTGCTCTCAGATAGTCTCCGACTCAGCGCAGAAGGATACTCGGCCCAGACAGATCGGGGCAACAAGCGCGGGGGAGGAGGTTCGAATGAAGACAGTGCGATCACAGTGACGGCACTGCGACAAGCGATCGCGAGCCGGCAGGGTTTCGCATTCCAGAGCGCGTTGCCTAAGGAGTTCATGATGGAGCAGGCGAACGAGCGGAATCGGATAGCGCTGCCGATGGTGGAGAGGGGTTATGGGGTCCAGCTGCCGCCGGAGAAGTACTGCTTGACGGGCGTTGGGTGGGGCTTGAAGGACGAGTGGGAGAGTGATGAGGATATTCCGTTGGTGGAGGAGGGTGCGAGGCCTGTGTCTTCTTCGCAGAAGGAGGATGAGAAGATGGGTGGCGTGGATGGGATGGAGGTGGATGAGGATGAGGAGGGTGCGGGGAGGATGGAGGATGTTTTTGGGGAGGGCGGTGGGGATACCGCGATGCAGGAGTGAGGAAGAAAGGGGTGAGAGAGGTTTGACATTCATGTTGAGGATTAGCGAGGCGTTTGGAGAACATGGGCTGGTCTGCGAGAATTGCGACCAAAAGCTTCATCGATATTGTACGATACCAGATACCACCAATGGGAGTCGCCACAATGTTTCGCAGCACGCAACTCGATATCCTCGAGCGAGCCACATCGTCTATTCCCAAGTCAAAACTGCGTACAACACTCGAGCATGCAGAACAGCGACGAGTTCCCTCACGAGGTCCTGAGCGATCACATCCGCTGCAAAGAAAGGCATAATTCAGAGCGAGTCGAGCTCGTTGCCCCAAAACCAGTACCTCCACCGCAGAAATGGGAGTCCTTTGCTTTTACACTATCACATCGGAGCTCTCTTTTCGCACTCGCGCTCCTCATCTCATCCATCCCGTTTCCACGTCCAACGTGGCAACGATCACTCATGCCCATCATCTAGGATCACTATCGCACACACTCAGCTCCATCCCCCCTCACCAAACGACAGGGCACTTACCAGGACCATCACACGAAGACTCACTCTCTACAACCAAAGGCTCCGAACAATCCACCCCTCCCAAGACCCTCACCAACCTCGCCAAAGCCTCCTCAGTGACAGCCTCCCTCGGCAGCGCCATATTCCTGAGTTTTACACCCTCATGCCTGCCCAAACCCTCCAAGACCCTCACAGCCGAATCAACGACCACCGGATCCCCAGACGAACGTGCGTCGAAGTCCCAGCCGATCGCTTCGAGCTTCATGTCCGTGTTCTGCCGTAGGATGGCTACGAGGAGGGCTGTATTCCGCTTCAAAGGTGAGAGGACTTGTTCGATATCCGAAAGCCTCGGATTCGACGACGAAGAAGCGCCGTAGGGTTTATACTTCCACGTCACCAATACCACCCCCCTCCGCATCCTCCCCACCAAAGCTCGAAACTGTCCTTCCGAGAGCTTGGAGCCGATCGCACCCGGCGAGGATCCCTCGACGACGATTTTGTAGAGGATGGAGGAGCGGAAGAAGGGTGTTGCTTCGTGGTGGAGTTGTTTAGATGTTCGGAGGAGCGCTGTGCTGTGTTGAAGGGCTTTGCGGTAGGAGTCCTGGGCGTCGCCGGTGTGGTGCTGGAGGGTGAAGGAGGTGAGGCTGTAGCGGGGGGAGTGCCCGGTTAGGAAGAGGGTGAGGTGGTTGGAGGATGGGGGGTAGAGGTGGAGGTAGATTTCGTCGCGGAGTTCGCGTGGTAATGATAGAAGAGCACTTGAGGACATGGTTTTGTGAAAAAAGACTGGCTGTGGAGGTTTGGGGCAGTCTTGAGGTGGCTGTATCGTTGTAGAGGGCTAGCTTGCGTAGTTACATTCTTACGAATTGCTGAGAAGGACATGGGAGTCCAACTTGTGTAACACGAGTAACCCGAAGGACCGGCGAAAGCTATTCCTCCGATCTAATCCTCAGAAGCTTAACAAATTCCGGGGCGCGATTCCAGCTCGAAAGACATGCTTTGCAGGAAGACATGGATTCTTGATTGTTGCTCGGGTTAGTCTCGCATGGAAAGCTTGTTTCTTTAGAAGTCGGATGTCGTCGTACTCGTTCTTCGTGGGTGCGAATGCGATGGTTTCTAGGGATATTTTCGTCTCTTGGCAAGGCTTTTCATGTTGGAAGATTATGGTAGGGGGGTTTCAGCCATGGGAAGGGTGTGTTGCACAGCGTGGAGTGTGGGTGGATCGTGGGGTGGATTCAGCCGTGCGGCTGCTGTGCTTTCGAGATTGATATTGCTTTTGTTGCCTTTTTGGAGCGTCTTTCTGATGCTCTGGGACGTTCAAATCGAGCATTGAGTATCTCGGTGCCGTGGTCATGCATGCTTCCGGGGGGATGTCACTGACATCTAGTAACACAATTCAACATTTCGCTGGTATGGGTTCACGCCTCCCGCTTCACCACTTCCTCCGCGCAACAAATCTCCAACTCCTTCAACAGCGCAGCGCGACGGTTGAAGTACGTCTCGTAGATGTCCTTCACAAGATCAGTACAACCGTCTCACCATATCATCGCCTGGGGACACTCACGATCAACCCCTTAGCCAAATGACGCCACCCGCGCTTCGAATACACCTTCCCAGAAAACTCCTCGATCTGCTTGTTCGCCGCTGCGACGTTCCCGCGCATACGCTGCAGGACCACACCCTTCGTGAGGGATCGAGACGCTGCGCCGGCCGACTTCTGGTCGAGATGGATCCAGGGGTTGAGGTGCGCATTCTCCTTCGTTGGGGAGAAGACGAGGGGCGTTTGGTTCTTGCTCGTGCTGTTACTGCTGCCGCTGCCGAAGGTGGAGAGGAGACTGAGGGCTTGCTCACGGTTGGGTTTGCGGAGGGGTTTGAAGGACTTCTTGGTCACTTTGCGGCGGTTGATGAGTTTGAGTTTGAGTTTGATGGGAGGGCGGGTTGCCATGGGAGGTGGAGAGTGGTGCTTGTTACCTTTCGTCTTGGACTCGTACTTGGTGGACATGGTGGGCGCGGTATAGTGAGTTGGGGGAGGTATAGAGTGGATGAGGTCGTTGGTTGGTGTAGGATGGCTTTTTGTCGTTGAGATGGAGTGAGTGCGTCAAGCGCTGAGGTAGGTTCGAGAAGTCCACCTCTTTCGATTGTGTGAAGATGAGTGAATGCAGGTTCCAGAACCTCACTTGCAGCAGAAACTCCCATTCACTTCCACCTACAGGCCTGTCGCTGTTCGCACCAAGGTCCCCACGGCAGAACTCCGGACCAAATCCACCAAAGGGTTATAGTTCCGCTACAGCCATGTCCCCCACGTCACAGGACAGAGCATTCGAATTGCGTTGTGAGACTTGAGAAGTCTGTGGCGTAGTGGTTAAGCGCAACCGACACCCCGTCTCCATAGAGACGAGCTTTAAGGTGAAACAGCAACATCACTAAAGATGTAAAAACGATGTTCTCGGAATAAAGAGGGTACAAAGGATGTGAGGGTCCTTTTCCTCTCTAGGCCATTCTGGTAATCAGGTGGATAGTTCTTCTTTTTGTTTGATTCCTGGGCGTGTGTTCGATTCGTCGTGGTGGTAGGAGGCGGTGATGTCATTTCCTTTTTGATTACTTTTTGAGTCTTTTTGTGACTTGGGCGCATCGGATTCGTTCCTCGAGTCGACGCAACATCATTTTTCAGACAGTTCACAGAAGTTTGGTGATCTTTCACGCCCATCTCTTATTCATCAATTCGGCCTCGAGTACTGCCCACGCCCGGCACGTTTCACTTGGATCTATGTGCTTTGCTGTCGCATGCCAGTTGTGCACCTGATTCTCGTTCGGAATGTTTCGATCTCCAGAGCGGTAACGTTACGCCGCTACCCTTTTCGTCTTGAAGCCCATTCCCCCTTCATATTTTCACGAGTCTCAGATTCCATAGTAGCACCCAAAGGCCACACCCGTTGTTTTGACCGCCATCTTTCAAGCGTCAGCGTCTTTCGCTCCTACTCCTCAGCAGCTTTTGCATTCGGCTCGTGGGCTTTTTCGAACGCGGGAGGGTCAAGCCAGAAGCCTGCACTCTGTGCGACAGATCTTATTGTAGTCGGCTCGTTTTGCACTGTTGCAATGGCGAGGTCTGCCAGAAGAACGACCGCCAGCCCCTGTAATACGAGATATCCCATCATCTGTGGTTTTGGTGCTGGAGTTCGCTGCAAGCCAAGGAACGTTCGTCGTTGGTGAGTGAGAAAGGCATTTTGCGGTCGGATGTATTGTCGTTGGAACATGATGCGATAGAGAGAACGGGATGCTATGTACAGTGAAACAGGAGGTCATACAAGGAGGAGCTTACGAGGTGATGTTGTGAAAGTGGATCCCAAGACTTCGGTCTGTCCCGAACCGTTTTCACGTGGTGGGTTAACGCAACGGTTTTGTACTAGCACTGCTCGTAGCTGGTAGGCGCAGTCGAGCTGCTGACGACGGGGTTGCAGAAGTCAATCCACGCACCTCCACGGGATTGCACCTGCTCGTTCCTGCACACGACATTCTCGCATCGCATTGCACCGCCACGAATAGGCATCCCTTGGAACAACGAAACCGCATTGGGCTCCTCCGCCGCCGCCGCTCGCTTTGACCACCAGCCCGCTCCCAGCCAGTCCCTGAACCGCACACAACCACCACCACCACCCACGCGCCCACCGTCCACCACCGCTGGAAGACACCCACAATTGATATTGTTGAAAGGAGAGAGGAGTAGATGGTGTCGTTGATGAGGACACGGTAACTGGCAGGCCCCAGCACCCCTTCCGCGCGGCCTGCCCATCATGGCCAGCAGGCCCAATCACCCACACCACCAGGGCCCGAGCAATGACGACCTGCTGGGCCTGGACGACGATGAGGGACCGATCTACAACTCTGGCAACCCTCCTCCCGTGTCGGACGAGCGCATTATCCACGATTACGATACCCATGGCCGCATCAGCACTTCGCACGACGACTTCGTAGGCTCGCAGGCGCATCCTACCACCTCTCTGCCTGGCGGGCCAGGATACTCTCATGGACTTCAGAACCCTCCTCCCCTGGGCGATTCCGGCCGCAATCTCTCACAAACCTCTGGTCTTGGCAACTACCAGCGATATTCAGACTTCGACAATGACCGCTATTCGGATACCGCGTCGTTTGCTGGGGGATATGCTGCAGGAGGTGGAATTGACGAGGACAATGTTCCAGGCATACCAATCCAGCATGGAAAAGGGAAACATCGCAACAGGAACAGCATTCTGAGCATGGGCGGGGGTATCATGGGAAAGGCTAAGAACATGTTGGGCATGGGACCGGAATACAGTGAAATGGACCTTCCCCTGACGGAAACGAGGACACATCATGCGACTGGTAGCGTTGGTCTGGATAGTGTCAACGATGCTCTGCCGGAACGAAAGACGCCAGGCTCGAAGTTCAAGTTTGGTCTACCCAGCAATCCGTTCAACCGCAAGGTCGACCCCTCAACTCTGGGCCCGAGAATCATCCACCTGAACAACCCGCCCGCGAATGCGCAGAACAAGTATGTCGACAACCACGTGTCCACGACCAAGTACAACATTGCGACGTTCGTGCCGAAGTTCTTGTTCGAACAGTTCAGCAAATACGCCAACTTGTTCTTCTTGTTCACGGCCATTCTACAACAAATCCCGAACATCAGTCCTACGAACCGATATACCACCATCGTACCTCTGGGTATTGTGTTGCTCGTATCTGCAGGCAAAGAAATTGTCGAGGACAACAGGCGGCGATCACAAGATGCACAGCTGAACAAAAGTCGCGCACGGGTGTTGAGAGGTTCGACGTTTCAGGACGTGAGATGGATTGACATCCAAGTCGGCGATTTCATCCGCGTGGAGTCAGAAGAACCTTTCCCGGCCGATTTGGTCCTTGTTGCCTCGTCCGAACCGGAAGGCTTGTGCTATATCGAGACTGCTAATTTGGACGGAGAGACCAATCTCAAGATCAAACAGGCCATTCCCGAAACGACCCACTTGATATCATCGGCAGAGTTGTCGCGGGTTGGTGGAAGAGTCCGCAGTGAACAACCTAACAGCAGCCTCTACACCTACGAAGCGACGCTCACAATGCAGTCTGGTGGCGGTGAGAAAGAATTGCCACTTGCTCCTGATCAGCTTCTTCTCCGAGGTGCCACTTTGAGAAACACCCCTTGGGTTCACGGAATCGTTGTGTTTACAGGCCACGAAACGAAACTTATGAGGAATGCCACAGCTACGCCTATCAAGCGAACGAACGTCGAGCACCGAGTCAACACCCAGATCTTGATGTTGGGCGGAGTTCTGGTCGCTTTGTCTATTATCTCTTCCATTGGAGATCTCGTGGTCAGACAAACCATTGGTAACAGTCTTTGGTTCTTGATGCTAGAATCGACAAACCCTGCCGAGCAGTTCTTCAAGGATATTTTCACGTACTGGATCCTGTACTCTAACTTGGTACCTATCTCCCTCTTCGTTACGGTCGAAATCATCAAGTACTACCAGGCATTCTTGATCAGCAGTGACCTCGATATCTACTACCCTGAGACGGACACCCCAGCCAACTGCAGGACCAGCTCTTTGGTTGAAGAACTCGGCCAGGTCGAGTACATCTTCTCTGACAAGACTGGCACGCTCACCTGCAATATGATGGAGTTTCGACAGTGCAGTATTGGCGGAATACAATATGCTGACGAGGTGCCTGAAGATCGCAGAGTCTACGATGGAGACGAGTCTGGGACGTGCATCTACGACTTTCGCGGCCTGGAGCAACATCGAAGGAATGGCCAAAACACTGAAGGCATCCACCAATTCTTGAGTCTGCTTTCGACCTGCCATACCGTCATTCCAGAAGTCAACGCTGAGAAACCCGGCGTGATTAAGTACCAAGCTGCGTCGCCCGACGAGGGAGCTCTGGTGGAAGGCGCCGTTCAACTGGGATACAAATTCGTGGCTCGTAAGCCGAAGCTTGTGACTATCGAGGTTGGTGGTCAAGAGTACAGCTATGAGCTTCTTGCAGTCTGCGAGTTCAATTCGACGAGAAAGCGAATGAGCTGTATCTACCGCTGTCCAGATGGAAAAATCCGCTGCTACACCAAAGGCGCCGACACTGTCATCCTGGAACGACTTGGTATTCGAGACGAGATGGTGGAAAAGACATTGCTGCACTTGGAAGAGTATGCCGCTGAAGGTCTTCGAACACTTTGTCTCGCTTATCGTGAGATTCCCGAGTCAGAGTTCAGGGAGTGGTATGATGTCTTCAACACTGCTGCTACGACTGTTGGCGGCAACCGTGCTGAGGAGCTTGACAAGGCGGCGGAGATCATCGAGCACGACTTCACGCTCCTCGGTGCGACTGCCATCGAGGACAAGCTTCAAGACGGCGTTCCTGACACCATCCACACTCTTCAGACCGCTGGCATCAAAGTGTGGGTGCTGACTGGCGACAGACAGGAGACTGCTATCAACATCGGAATGTCATGCAAGCTGATCAGCGAAGACATGACGTTGTTGATCATCAATGAAGAGAACGCTGCAGATACAAGAGCGAACATCCAGAAGAAGCTGGATGCCGTCAACTCTCAGCGGGCTGGCGGAATCGAGATGGAAACTCTTGCACTCGTTATCGACGGCAAGAGTCTTACATTCGCCCTGGAAAAAGACATGGAGAAGATGTTCCTGGATCTTGCAGTGATGTGCAAAGCGGTCATATGCTGCCGTGTCTCACCACTGCAGAAGGCATTGGTCGTGAAACTCGTCAAGCGCCATCTGAAGAGTATTCTCTTGGCCATTGGCGATGGAGCGAACGATGTTTCAATGATCCAGGCCGCTCACATTGGTATCGGTATATCTGGTGTCGAAGGTCTGCAAGCAGCTCGGTCTGCCGACGTCTCGATCGCTCAGTTCCGATTCCTGCGGAAGCTTCTTTTAGTCCACGGAGCCTGGTCCTACCAACGCATCAGCAAGGTCATCTTGTACTTCTACTACAAGAACACTGCGCTGTTCATCACCCAATTCTGGTACTCCTTCCAGAACGCCTTCTCTGGACAGGTCATCTACGAATCATGGACGCTATCCTTCTTCAACGTCATCTTCACTGCTATGCCGCCGTTCGTGCTGGGTATCTTCGACCAGTTCGTTAACGCAAGATTGCTTGACCGATATCCTCAGCTATACCAACTCAGCCAGAAAGGAATATTCTTCCGGACTCACAACTTCTGGAGCTGGGTCGGAAATGGCTTCTTCCATTCTCTGGTGCTCTACTTCGTCAGCGAAGCGATCTACTGGCGCGATGGTGTCTTGTCTGATGGCAAGATCGCAGGGCATTGGGTATGGGGTACTGCCCTGTACACAGCAGGTCTGGTCACCGTCCTCGCCAAGGCCGCTCTCATCACAAACATCTGGACAAAGTATACCGTGATTGCCATCCCAGGCTCGCTCGCAATCTGGTTCATCTTCCTGCCCGTCTACGCAACAGTCGCTCCGATGCTTGGCTTCTCAACCGAGTATAAGAACACACTCCCCATTATCCTCTCCGATCCAAACTTCTGGCTCATGGGCGTTGTTGTCCTCCCCGCCCTCTGCTTACTGCGAGACTTTGCGTGGAAGTACGCCAAACGCATGTACTACCCACAAGCATACCATCACGTGCAGGAAATTCAAAAGTATAACATCCAGGATTACAGGCCGAGGTACGTCATCATTAACAGCACCCTTCAACGGAAACATTGCATGCTAACGTTATTGACAGGATGGAACAATTTCAAAAGGCCATCCGCAAAGTGCGCCAGGTGCAGCGCATGCGGAAGCAACGCGGCTACGCCTTCTCGCAGACGGACGAGTCCCAGGCGAGAGTGCTGCAGGCGTACGATACCACGAGGGAGAGAGGTCGTTATGGCGAAATGGCGAGTAGTCGACGGTAGTGAAGCGGACGACTCGCTTGTGTGTTGTTTTCTGTTTCGGACATCGTGGAGTTTTGGGGCTGTATTTTCGAAATGGTGCTGGGAACCAATCACGCCGATGTGAGCGTGCTGGTCGGATGGAGGGAAGGGTATAGCGACTTTGTATATGTATGTACGTGGTTTTCGAAAGATGACTTTGTGAGTCATATGCCCATTTTTGGGATTTTCTTCGGCGTTGTCTTTCTGGTGAAGTGGATGAGTGAGCCCTGTGACGACGACGAATCCAGGCAAGAGCGTAGGTAGGGGAATTGACAACGAAGGACGATCTAGGCTGGCTCGAAAGATGAAGTTCAAACCTCAGCCCACGAAGGGCCAATGGCCTTATCTGCTGCCTCAGGGATCCATTCGTTCCTATCCATGATGCTAACTTGTTCTCAGGGCGTAATGCCGCAGTTCTATCCCCAGTGAGACGTTCATGTTATCTTCACATGTTCCCGCGGCCGAGCAGATGTCTCGGGAAGTGAGGTATAGTGCTTATCTCAGAACTTAACACAATCGCTGTCGATGCTGTCAGCTGAAGGGAACCATCTCACAGGTATATATTGCCGGTCCGCGAGAAATGAGAATTGATCAGTTAAACAAACGACTCCATAGTCAGAATTCTCAGCCATGACTCGTTCGTTACGATTCATCGCTACTTTGGGCACCCTCTTAGCCACGACTCTCGGGGCTACCAAACACGACCATCCCACAGTGTACATCCCAGTCATCAAGAACAATGTATAGCCAAGCTCTATAAGGTATCATCATTTCGAAAACAAAAGTTGCAGGGCTCAAAAAACTCTTAGCAAACTGGAAAAAATGCGAGACGCGCACTATTAAGAAGACCAAGAATCATCTCCAGAACGCCATTTATCCGCTCTTTCCTAATTAATCTCAATCAATGCCGGCCCAAAAACAGTCGACATGGCGACGTCGCTAGCATTAGCAAACGGTCCACTCCCATGCACGACGGCCGCTATTGTCAACCCATTAAGTTCATACTCCTGGTACGGAAAACCGACTGAGAAGTCCACCTGAGAGCCCTCTATACGCACGTCCTGCAGCGGCTCCACAACTGGCACGTTCTGCTGATTGATCAGGACCAGGCTCATCGTCTGCTCTATATTCTGCTCCATGGCCTCGGGCATGGTGGTGCTGGTGGCGTACGCGTAGCTGAAGTCGAGGGTTGTGGTGTTGGGCCCGACATTGGGGGTTTTGACGTTCAGGGCACCGAAGATCGGTACGGCGATGTCTTTGCTGTTAGGGCACGAGTTTGGCACGTCGACCATTTGGTTCAGGGCCGAATAGACTAATGCACCCGCAGCGGCCGGGAGGAAAGGGAGGGCAGGGGCGATCTTGGGCGGTTTGGCTCGAGTACGAAGAGGCCATTCTGTTCGCCTTCTTCGCCGATTATGGAGGCGATGAGGCCTAGGAACTCTGTATCTCCGTCCAATCCAAAGTTGGTGTTGGCTTCTTGGAGTGTGCCGAGAACGACGTCTGTGAAGGTCGATGCGAAGCTAAGAGCATCTTCGAGGGTGTTCGATGGGAAGACGTAACGTACTTGATGGGGAAGCTGCGCAGACGGTGAAGCTGCGCAGACGGTGAAGCTGCGCACGGATCCGCGACACTTTCGCGTTTTCTTTTAATTTCTCGCGACACGCTTAACTTTTAACTCTTCTATTTTATAGATCTCGAGCAGCGTATACTAGACGTAATATCTACTTATAAGAATAATCTATATACCTCGAAACGTAAGTATACTACTACGTTTTCTATTAGCGAATCTACGCTTTAACTACAGCTCGCTAGCGGCGTTTCTCGATCTATCGCGTACGAATACGAGTAATACCTATTTACGACCGAAGAGTAGACTCTTATTAAGTAGATCTTAAAGTTATCGAAGTATAGCTATCTAGTTTTATCTAAATTCGCGCGAGAACTCGTTTTTAAGATATATTGTTCTCGAGTTCTACTTTTAATACTAAACCCCTTCTCTATAACCTTAATTTTCTAACCTAGTAAAAAGTAGATTAATAGACTATATACTCGCTATCTAGAAATAAAAGGAGCTTAGAGTTAATAGCTAGAAATAAGCTAGTATAATAGTACTTACTATTCGATAGTCGAGTCCTACTTCTCGAGTTTTACTAAGCTTTTTGTCTTAAATTACTACGCTCCTAAAGATATTTATTATTACGAACACGTTCCGCTAGTATAGCCTAGTACGTAATCTAAACTAAGTATTAGAGGCTAAAGCCTAACTAAGCGCCTAACTACTTAGGCTAATTAGACTACTTAGTAATTAGACTACTTAGACTACTTAGATAAGGAACGAATCTCCTTTAT